CATGAGCATCACAGTCATGGTTTCAAGGCAGCTGAAACTGCACAGAAACTTAATGCAAAAAATATCTAAATCCAGAAAAAAAATTTTAAGAGAAAAAACAAACCCACCTCACTGTCCATTTGTAAGTAGGGAAAAGTGCAGCCCCCAGGACCACACACACCCAGCTGATGGCACTCAGTTAATTAGGGCTGATAAGTGGCTTCAGCTGGGGAAAATGTGAGTCCCACCCAAGGACAAGGCTCTGTGGGTGCCCCGGTGAGGAACAAGACGCCCCTCCGTCCCATGACAGCTAAAATCCCAGTATTGAAAAGGAACGTGAACTGAGATTAGTCTTGACATTTCTGGGTCTTGTAGTCACAGTGGGTGACAAAAGCAAATTCTGGATCAGAGCCTTTCCCGGAGCAATTTAAACACATCTATTTTGAGGAGAGACTGAGTTAAACAAAGGGGTGACAGGCCATAAATTGAAAGCCGCAGGATGTGGCATCCTGGGATTATGTTAAAATCAGGCAGTCCGAGTAGCCTCCAAAATACATATTTTTTGGAAATCGGGGAGAAAAAGCACTGCTATCACACAGCCCGCTGCCCCTCACGCCATCTACGAGTCCTTGTCCCCACTAACCAAAATCGCTTGACCCCTTTGCAGGATGAAGGCTCAGTTCAGGAGGAGGAAATAATCAGGCAGGAAGCAAAAATTAAACCATTCAGTGGAAAATGGAGAGGAATGGTTTTTGCATTCATCTGCCTATGCTGGCATCTTGTCAAAGGACTATTATTGGGAAACCGCGGTGGGAAGCAGGGACTCCAGTGGAGAGAAAGCTGTATTTTTCCTACTTGAGGCTCAGTGACTCCTGCAAGCTATCCCGCAGCAACAGGAGAGGGGCTTGAGGTGAAACTTGAACTTTTGGTGTGTTTCCCTGTCAGGCCCATTCGTGCCTCCCCAGGCAGCAAATCCAGCTGCGTCAGCAGAAACGCGAGGCTGCGGCGCAAGGAGGTTTCTCACTTTCCAGCCCAGCCAGACCACTGCATGCTCTGCATGGCCCGGTGGCACAGGCACCGCGCTGGCCGCTGCTGCAGCCCAAGCCATGAGAAACAGTGACACCCACCGAAGGGAGAAACCTCCTTCCCCATCATCACTGCTTCTGCTCTGGGGGCTGCAGCACACGCTGGAGCGCGCACAGCCCCAGCCGTGGGGGGCTGCGGGGGGCTCTGTGAGGAGAGGATGGGGCTGCCCCGTGTCAGATGCAACTAATTCCAGATGGTTCTGGCTGGTTCCTGATGGCTCCAACAGCCCTGCCACAGGGCATGGCTGAGCCCATCAGTGATGCTGGTTGTGCCTTTGGGCAAAAGTATTTAAGAAAGGGCAAAACGCCACGTAGCAGTGAGGGAAGAGGGGGGAAAGTGGGAGACATGGTCCTGTGAGCAGCATGGTCAGGGAGGAAGGAGGAGGGGAAGAAGGGGTGGTCCGGGTGCTGGAGCAGGTGTTCCCCGGAAGCTTCCGGAGGAGTCCCCACTGGAGCAGACATCCATGCCTGGGACTAGTATTAGTTGACAATAAACTAATTTTCCCCAAGTTGAGTCTGTTTTACCCATGCCAGTAACTGGTGAGGGATCTCCCTGTCTTTCTCTCAATCCGGGAGCTGTTTCACCTTACTTTCTCCCCAGCCCTCTCGAGGAGGGGGCGTGAGGGTGGCTGGGTGGGCTGCTGGCAGCAGCCAAGGTCAGCTCACCCCCGCGGCCCCGGGGCAAAGCTCGCTGCACGGCATCAGCCCCAGCGTCT